ATGGGAAAGTCTGCTGTTAGAGACCTCTCCAAAGTGCTGAAGAGCAACGGTGTCTCTCTGGAGACTAAGGTGTGTCTGATACAGGCCATGGTCTTTGCTATCACCTGTTATGCATCAGAGAGTTGGACAATGACTAAGGAGGATAGAAGAAGAATTGATGCCTTTGAGCTGTGGCACTGGAGAAGAGTATTGAGGGTACCATGGACTGCTAGGAAAACAAACAGATTCATCTTGGAAAGGGTCAAACTGAGCTGCTCCTTGGAGGCAAGGATTCTGAGGCTCACAGCAGACTGCTCATCTTTCGCCCCAGAATTGTTGGAGGATTCCAACCACCTGCTTTTGGGTTCACAGCACAGCTCTTTACCATTAGGCCACCAGAACTCTCTCCCTATATATATAAAAGTAGGACCCCCCAATGGTGGAAGAGTTAGGCTAAGTGCTGCCTGCTAACATAAGGGTTGGTATTGGAGCCCATGCAGTGGTTTAGTAGGAGAAAGATCTGTAGATCCTCTTCCTTTATGATTGTTGTTGTAGTTGTTATCTACCACAGAGTCTGAGCTGACCCATAGCTGACCCCCTCTGGTGGGTTTTCAGAGGTAGTTAATTGCACAGGAGATTGCCCATCTTTTTCCCGCAGAACAGCTGGTGGATTTGAACCGTGTGCCTTTGGGATTGCAACATAGCTTCTTGCCACTAGGACAGCTCTTTATGATTATAGACAAGAAATCCCTATGGGGAAGTTTTTGTCTGTCATGTGGAGTTGCTGTGATTCAGCATGTACTTGATACTTGGTGTGTGTCTTCTTCGCCGATATACTCTAAGTGCCTGGTCCTTGGGGGGCAGTTAATGATTTTTGAATGATCTTCATGATATTACTTTTGGTTTAAGTGCTAATTAGGCATTCACATTTTGCTCAAAACCATATACTGGTTGATTTAACTTTTTCTTACTATTATTTTGGCAGGTGTTTGTGTTTGATGTTGGACATAAAACGTGGAAGTCTTATGATTGGTCACAGATTACAACAGTGGCAACTTTTGGAAAATATGACTCAGAACTTATGTGCTATGCACATTCAAAAGGAGCCAGAGTAGTGCTAAAAGGTAAGCTACGTTATTTGCTGGAGATACATACATATATATTATATAAATTAGTGGTGAGGAGTTGTATTGTCCAACCAGAGGCACATGGGATCCACCAGCTGCTCTACAGGGGAAAGATGGGAAATCTCCTTTTGTGCAATTAACTGCCTCTGAAAACCCGCTGGAGGGACAGTTATGGGTTGGTTCTGACCTGATGGTACATACACAATAGCAATGTTACCTGTATTTTTCCACACTTTAAAACAACTTTAAAAACAATCCCTACTTTATGTTTTTTAAGCATCATAAATGAAATCTCCCCACCTACGTCCCATTGTTAAGTTGATTCCAACTCATAGCGACCGTCCATTTGGTTTCTGAGACTGTTTATATTTATGGGAAGAGAAGGTTTCTCTTTCTCCAGGAGTGAAAGGTGGATTCAAACTGCTCATTTTTCAGGTAACAACTTGACTCTATGTCTCAGTGCTCATTAAAATGAAACTTCGCTATTATTTAATATAAAAATGTGAATTAAATACTTCTCAAGTGTTACATAAAGCAATGTACGTTTTTAAGCAAAATTGTTATGTGCGGGCTAGTCAACTACAACTCATAGTGACCCTATGAACAACAGAAGTGAACATTGTTTAAGTCCATTGTTAGAGTCACTGGGTCAATCTATCTTATTGAGGGTTTTCCTCTCTTACTCTGACCCTCTGCCTTCCCAATGGATGTCTTTTTCCAAGGCCTGTCTTGACAAAATGCCTAAAGTATGTGAGGTGAAGTTTCACTATCTTTACATGTAAGGGGCACTCTGGAGGTACTTTGTCCAAGAAAGACCTGTTTGTCCTTTTGACAGTTCATGGAATATCCAGTATTCTTCTCCAACATCACAATTCCACAATTCAAAGGCATCAGCTCTTCTTTTGGCATCTTTATTTATTGTCCAACTTTCAGATTTGTAGGAAGCAGTTGAAAATACTGTGGCGTGAATCAGATGCACCTTAGTCTTTTAACTGACACTGACTGACACTGATGCTCTTTAGCACTTTGGAGGGATGCTTGACATCTTCTAATTTCTTAACTGCTGTTACTATGGATATAGATTGTGGATCCAAGTAAGGTGAAATAGTTGAGAACTTCGTTTTTTACTCCATCTATCATGATTTTGCCCGTTACTCCACGGTTTATAATTTTTTTTTGTTATCTTGATCTTGAGATATCCATATTGAATTCTGTAGTCTTTGATTTTCTGCAGCAAATATTTCAAGTCCTTTTCACTTTCTACAATCAAGGTTGTGTCATCTGTATAATTTTGGTTTTGATGAGTCTTTCTTCAATCCTGATGATTCTTTTTCATATACTTTAGATTCTTGCCTAATTACTATAAGTTTTGTTTTCCTTTCTAGTGATGTCTACATTTTCTGATCCTAATTTTGAATGATTTTTAGTAACTGTTCATGTTAAATTACAGAGCTTCAGTAATACTATTTATTATTTCACTATCTCTCCCTTTGGGAAGCTTAACACATTAGTATGATGAGATATTTTTTAGATATTTTGATCTCTTTAGGATGGATTTGTAAAATAAATATCATTAACTATAAAAAGCACATTTGCACAAAAGCTGTTTATTTCTTCCATAGGAGATGTGTCTGTAAAGGATATCATTGATCCTACATTCAGAGAATCTTGGATAACTCAAAAACTCGTTTTGGCCAAAAATCAATATATGGATGGAATTAATATAGACATAGAACAAGAAGTAAATTGCTCATCACCAGAATATGATGCATTAACTGCTTTAGTTAAAGAGACCACAGAAGCTTTCCACCATGAAATTGAAGGGTCACAGGTAAAACTTTCTTTTATTTTTAAAATCCTATTTTTCCTATTATATTTATGAGGATATGACTAATGGAACTTCATTTTTGTTGTAATAATGGAATGGAAAAGAATTTCAGCATGTATTTTCTGAAATAGATTTTATGGAAGTTTAGAGAGCCTTGTTGTTTGTTGTTATGTGCCATCAAGTCACCTTGACTCATAGCAACCCTATGTACGACAGCCCTAAACCCTCCTCTATCCTGCCAACCTCGCTGTCTCTGACACAGCTACCCCCCACTACCTCAACTAGAGGAATTTTAAGATGTTAAATCTTATCTCTGATCATCAGAATACATCACCAGAATTGTTCTATCATCTTTCTAAGCCAAAACATTCCAAGGACAGTGTGAAGACTGTGAGAGCTAGAACTCAACGGGGCTGCATTGTTCTTCTGGGTCTCACAAACTGTTAAGCTTTGACAGGATTCAGTCTTCAATTTTCTGCTGGTCTTTTTAGTTGAAAATATTTGCATTTTCCTTTTCTGACAAGTTTCTATCTTACACCAGTTACAGCTTTTTCAGATAGGCCATAAGGACAAGCAGGAAGCAGGTAGGGCCTAGTTGTGCCAGGTTCTCCATTCAGCAGTACAGGGTGGCAACAGCTCTTGAGAGTAGAGGTAGTTTAGAGAAGTGTCTCTTTTATTTCATAGACTCTGAATTACTTGAGGAGCACCCACAGCCCAATAGCACTTCAGTGGACTTCCTTATTGCCTAGAGGGGTGCTTTAGTGAAGATCATAAGGCACTGTGTGGTAACACAGGTGACTGTGGCCTGGATTGGGTGATTCTCAGGCCTGGATATCAAGACAAACACAAGTCTTAAAATACAGCTAATGCACACAGACAGGGAATTCCTGTCAAGAGTTTATTATTCAGAAGGATTTCGATGAGCCTCAAATCTGTATTACTGTTAGTATATGTCTCCTTGTTGAAAGCAAAGAATACCAGAAAAATGTCGATATTTGCTTTATTGATTAAGCAAAGGCATTTGTGTGGATTATTACAAATTATAGGTAACATTGAGAACAATGGGAATCCCAGAGCACTTAAATGTGCTCCTGTAAGCCTGTTGTTAGGCCAAGAGACTGTTGTGAGAACACAGCAAGAAGAGAACACTACCTGGTTTAAAATTAGGAAAGGAACATGTCAGGGTTGTACCCTTTCTCATTCATTATTTTTGTAATAATGAATCCATGTTTACTGGAGCTGTGGTGGCCTAGTGGGTAAGGAATTATGCTGCTAACCCAAATTATAGCCTTTAAAATCCTGCTAGGGGGTCATGGATGAGTTGGTTCTGACTTGACAGCACATTACTACAACAAGAGCAATTAGGGAAAATCGTAGTTAATGACGTTTTAGAACACTTATACATATCTAAGTGCTTGTGCTGCCAACCCAAAGGTACATGTTTTGAATCCACTAGCTTCTCCATGGAAGAAAGATGGACAGTCTCCTCCCATACAGTATTCTATCTTTGGAAACCCGTTGGAAGGTCAGCTGTGGGTTGGTTCCAACCTGATGGCACACAACAGCAGCAACAATAAAATAAGACTTAATATGAGGTAAAATAAAAAAAAATTTTTTTTAAAGAGAGTATTCTTGTTAAAAGCCGGCTGGGTTTTTTTTGTGTTGTGTTTTTACCCCCCTCAGTTTTCTCTTAAAAGAAAGCTCACTGGAGTCAAGTTGGTTCTGACTCACGGTGACGCTCCACTGGGTTTCTGAGGTTGTAAATAGTAATGGGAGGAGATTTCTCATCTTTCTCCCACAGACCTGCTGGTGGATTTGAACAGCCAGAGAGGCATGGCCTTTGGGTTAGCAAGGAAACTCCCTGTTCACTAGGCCACCAGAGTTCCCTTCCCATAAAAGAAGGTCAGTTAAATGTTTTGTTCAACATTTTGAGTTGATGAATCTGGATTTTGGTCACAAAGCATTTGTAACTATAATATTGGGTCAGACCTACCATGTGATTGGCAATTGTCAATCAGGAATCTAAACTCCCAACTCAGGCTATAGTTGGTACCTATTTCACATGTATAATACTGTTTTAAAAATTTTTATGTTTAAATGATTTCAGTGTAACTTTACTCTCTAGATTCTGGGGGCCCAAGATAGCCTCATGCTATTACATTAAAGCCTGATCTTCTTAAGTGTTTCCTGTTCCTGGTCATTTTACATCCTATGTTAGTGTACATCCAAACCTGTTCAGTACAATGTGTTTTTTTATGTGCCATCAAGTTGGAACCAGTTCACAATTGTCCGTCCAGTGAATTGCACAAGAGAAGGTTGCCAATTCTTCTCTTGAGCAGCTGGTAGATTCAAACCACATACCTTACTGTTATTCCTTACCACCAAGCTATCAAGCTCCCTATCAGTAGAGCACAGTAAAAAATGGTGTATTTATTTTCTTTAAAAAATATACTTTATTTTATTATGATTTTAACAAAATTTTACAGAAAAGTTGGATTTTCATTCATTCATTCATTCATTGTTGCACATTTTTCTCCATTCTCCCTCCCCCAGTTCATGAAATTTTTTAATTCATTATTGCATTTTCTACCCTTCCCTCCCCTCTTTCCCCCAAAGCCCACCCCTCAGTGCATCCCTTGTTCTAAATTGCTGTCATACATATAATACCTAACCATATATTCTTTTAAGACTGTTCTTACCCTCATCTGTTCTGCTGCTGTATTCATTATCTGTCCTCTCTTTTCCTATTGTCTCTTCAACACCAAACTCCTCCTATCCCCCAGCCCCATCAGTCCTATTTTATAATAGCAGTGTTATGTACTTTTTTGTCCTTTTGTAATGGAGAAATTTTATTCAGCATAATGTCCTCCAGGCTCCCCCATGTTGTGTATTGTTTTATGAATTCCTTGTTTTTCAATGCTGTGTAATATTTCATTATGTGAATGTAACACAATTTTTCTATCCATTTGGTTTTTTTGGCAATTGGGTTGCTTCGATCTCTTTGCTGTTTTTTTTTTAAACTTTCATTCATTGTTGCACAGTTTCCTCCTTCTGTCTCCCTTCCTCCAGACCCCAGTCCACTTTGCAATGCACTTCTTAGTCCAGATTGCTGTCTACATATTATACCTAGTCATATATTCCTTTTAAACAATTCTTTCCCTCGTTTGTTACAATACAGTGTTTGTTATCTACCCACGCTTTCCCTATTCTCCCCCCAACCTCCCATGTCAGCCATGCTGTAACAGTGGTGTTATGCAGTATTTGTCCTTTTGTGATGGAGATATTTCACACAGTGTAATGTCTTCCTAAAAAATGTATATATTTTATTCAACATTTCTATGTTTCAAGGCTTAAATGTCATATATTGTCAGCAGTTGTTTTCTTTGGTATAAAGAATATACAGTTATCAGATTATGAATTAATTCACTCCAAAGTCTGTCTTTAAATTGATTCTGTACATTAATCTGAACAGTGAGGTATGGTTCATATCTAATGTCAGTCAAATGTTTTTCTTAGTATATAGTATATCTTTCTATGCATAAAAACATTAAAGAAACTTCCAGATAACCTCAAGCATACTTAACATAATACAATAATGACAATAATGTTTTGGTGCAGATTGCCAAATACCATCTCTTTATTATTATGAACTATTACATTGTTGTACAGGGGCGGGGGGGAATCCAGTAACCATTCAAGTTACTGAAAGTCAAGATAAGGTAGTTTATTCTGACATGCTGTAGAGAAAGAAAAAGATAAAGACAGGGAGAATCAGCCAGCAGTCCTGCTAAACCAAAAACTCCTGAAGGTTACATTTGCAGAATTTATTTGAATACCCACTTACATCAAAGTGATTTTTAAAAAGGGGGGGGTCTATACATTTGGGTTTTTTTACTTCTTAGATAAAAGACCTTTTAATATGAGTGGCAACCTCATGTCTTCATCTTATCTTATACTAGAATACTCACATAACACAGAAAGGGGAAATGCACAATAGGTGTTAGAAAAGAAACAGAATCAGATGAAGCTACCTAGTTCAGTTGATAGGACATGGAAGCATAAATGAAGCAAACCACAGACTTTGTTATTAGGGGCCACCTTGCTTTTAAGAAGCAAAGAAATTGACTTTTTAGCTCACCTCTAATCTTTTAGTAGTCAAGTTGTTCACCTCACATCCTTCTTTCAAGAAACACAGTCTTTAACCTAATAAAAGATTTATAATCTGAAAAAAAAAAGCAAAGACATTAAAGACCAAGAAGGCAGTACTGAAAGGCATCCACACCTACACACACAAAAATAAATCATCCACCTTCCAGCAGCCTAAGATGCCTAAGACAGCCCAAGAATCACCAAGAATGCCCCCAGAAGAAACAAGCTTGACCACTATGCCATCATCAAATTTCCCCTGACCACTGAGTCGGCCATGAAGAAGATAGAAGATAACAACACACTTATGTTCATTGTGGATGAAAAGGCCAACAAGCACCAAATTAAAAAAGCTGTAAAGAAGCTCTATGATATTGAGTTGGCTTAGGTCAACGCTTTGATTAAGCCTGATGGAGAGGCCTCTATGTTCGACTTGTTCCTCACTATGATGCTTTGGATGTTACCAACAAAATTGGGATCATCTAAACTGAGTCCAGCTGGCTAATTCTAAATATAAATTTTTCTCACACACACACAAAAAAGATGTTAATCCTTTTTTTTTTTTTTTTTTGCTAGCAGGTGGGTGAAACTCAGAATTACCAGCTACAAGGTTTCTGCGAATTTGCTGTAGGCTATAGCGTTTCAAAATCAGCTCAGTCAATAGCTATTGTTGGTGGGCAGCGTGCAAGGTTGTTTTACGCTAAAATACCTTAAATTTTTTTCCTCTTTTTTAAAAAATTATTCATCATTGTTTATTTTCTCCCCACCCTATAATGCACCCATTATATAATGCAACCATTACCTTGGTTCCAGATTGTTGTCATACATATAATGCCTAATCATATATTCCTTTCGGA